CACATCGATTTTAGCACTCCTACACACATAGTTAGAATTAGGTAATACCCCATAACAATTGTCAGATGTCCTAACCCCTTCAAAGACTACCCTACCGGATGAATCATATACGATACATCTCTTCTGCACAAAACTAACCTCAAAGTCATCATCACAGATCTGACTAATGCTTAACAATTTTGACTTTAAACCGTCCCATACAACACATTAGAGATCACAGGCAAACCATGCATTTGTACGGTACCTTTACCAAGAATAGGTGCAGAGCCCCCATCTCCAAAGGTAACCATACCACCATTACATTCATCAAGAGTAGTAAACAGAGATTTATTACCACACATATGTCTAGAGCATGCACTATCTAGGTACCACATATTAGAATTTTGAGCCTTTAAAGCAATATGAGCAACAAAACAGTTTTCTCGACCTGAAGGTCTACCTAGATCACTCTTTTTGACCCAAACCTTTTTAGATGACAACATACTCTTAGTTAGCCTAGTAAGCATCTCAGTCAAGTGACTCATCTGATTAGACAGAAAGCTAACCTGACTAAGAATGTTTTGACTTCTACGCTCATTGCCTAACTTGTAACATCTAGGCCTAGTGTGTCCTAGAGCACCACAGTGGTGGCAGGTGGGAATGAACCTAGGCTCAAAGGTACATGTCTGTGGGTACCTAGTCCTGATGTTCCTACGTGATTGCTGACTCTGTTCCCTAGGAACACTCTTACCCTTACTTGGACTCCTAACAGCATTAGACTTAGAGGCAGCCACGAAGACAGTCTTAGATGGTCCAGCGATAGTTGTATTACCCTCAACATATCCTAGACCTCTCTTGTCTCCTACTGGCTTATTCATTCCCAACAGGTTATCTAATTTCTTAGTTCCACTTATGAATGTCTGAAAATGAGCATTAGATTTCTCCAATTCACTAGTCAAACTCTTAACCTTGTCTTCCAATTTCTCATTGACACATTTTAACTCACTACCACTCTTAAGTGACTCCTGAAGCTTACTACCCAGTTTCTCTTTTTCCCTTTCAAGTTCGTCAACCTTTTTAAGCAGGGCTTTATTGACCTTCTTTATTTTAAGACTCTCCTTAAATAACTGTTGATACGCTTCTTGTAAGTCTATGTCATCCTCATCCTCATCCTCATTACCTGAATTATCATTTGAATGTTCTTCCTCAACCTTGTCACTTTCCTTATCAGATTCACTCTTCACAGTAGCCACAAATGCCATATAATTTCCTTCATCGTCACTACTAGAGGATTCTTGCCTATCACTGGTCTCAGATTCATTATCAGTAAGAGAGACAACTAAGGTCTTACCTTTCCCTTTTCTTTGATTTTTCTTATAGCTAGGACATTCATTCCTATAGTGACCTATTCCTTGACACTCATGACATCTAACCAAACGTGGCTTCTCACTTGACCCTTTATTGTTAACTTTCTCAATTTTATCTTTTGTGAATCTGCTAGGGGCTCCACTTTTTCTATCCTGAGGCTTTCTTCTATTATTGAGGACTTTTTGAAATTTCTTAACAAAGTATGCAATTTCCTCATCCCTAAGTGACTCCGTATCAGACGATTCATC